AAAGGGCAGTAAATGTGGGTTAATGAGGGCTTGAGAGAGGGCTTTGGGCCTGGCCCATGCCCAGCCCTGAAGCTCCCAGGCTGCACGGAGCCATGCTTGGGCTTCCGGCTGCTCCAGGATAAAGGTCAACCCTTTTGCTGGAACATGAGGTTCTGTACCATCTGGGCCTGCCTGCCTCTGGCCTCATCTCCTTGGGTTCTCCAACCTGTACTCCATGTCCAGGCCAGACCAAACAACTCAAAGTGCCTACTGGAGAACACAGGCTGCTTCATGTCACTGTACCTTTATAGACACTACTCCTTCTACCTGGAACACTCTGCACCCTGGCTCTGCCTGGCTAGCTCCTCTCAGACTTGAAGATTAGCCTCCTCAGAGGAGCCCTCCCTGACTCCTCTGGCCACATCCAGTCCCCAACTTTCCAGGGCACTGTCATGATTTGGTTGTTTTTTTTTTTTTTTTTACAGTCTCTCAAGTAGCCTAGAGATCTCTTGAGGGCAGTGACCAGGTTTGGCACCCCCAGGATGAAGCACGGTGTCTAGTGCATACAGTAGGTGATTAATAAGATGCCCCAGCACAGCTTTTAGACTTTGGGTCCCCAGGAATTAACAGAAGTCCTGGAGCACACAGTAGGTGCTCATTAAGTACCTAGTGAATGCATGAACCTCAGCAATCTGACATTGGCAGAAGCTGGGGGCAAGGTGAGGCATGCAGGTGGGGAGTAGGAATGGAAGATGCATCCTTGGAAACAAGTCGGTGTCAGAGGGGGCCCCAGGACACTTCCCAGGAAAATGAACACGTAAACAGCAGAAAAAAAAAACACACACACACACGGATGGATGGAGGCATATAAACAGGGCTCTCAGCGAGCAAAGACAGAGAAGGATGAAAGAGGAAGAACTGGACTCAGAGGGGACAGAATGTGCCTATGAGAGCTGCAGAAGACAGGAAGCCAGAGACTGGAACAGGCTGACTCGCTACAGGATGTCTGGTGCCCTTGCTTCAGCCTCCGGGGGTAGATAAGGGTGGTGTGGGCAGTGTGGTGCTGTGGTCCCTTCCTAGGGTGGGAGGGCTGGGTGAAAGGCCACAGGTCACGAGACTTTGGGACATCTTAGGAAACTCTTCCTCTCTTAGCTCAGAAGAGGCCCTGTGTTATGAAACACAGCACCCAAGATATCACAGCCACAAACCTAGCTTCTTGCCCTTGGGTGAGCAACTTAGTGTTTCTTGCCTCAGTTTTCCCATCAGGAAAGTGAGTACTGTTCTCCTGGAGAGGAACGTTAGGGTCATACTGAGTTAGGACATGTAAGTGAAATGCACATGGCCTGATACAAAGGCCAGGGACTGACATTAACGGTAGTGATTTCTCCCAAAGTCCTGCTGTACCCAGGTCCTAAGAGAGGCTGTGCCTTCATGTCACTGAGTACCACAGATAGACCCAAGTTCAGAGACTCAGCCTCTGGTTTTTTTATTTGATGCCGGATCAATACAGCAAGGCAAAGTTAATTCCCTCCGAGAGGGTGAGTGGCCGCAGGCATGCCAGCTGGCTGAGAGACAACTGAGGATGCCTTGGCCAGCAAGCCTGACCATTGAGCTCCACCACTGACTGAGTGTTCTCCGGGGCCTCTATGTTTCAGCCTGTCAAATGGGCTGAAGACAGTTTTCTGGCTATCAGATTATACCTAGAGGCATGCATGCACTCCAAGGAGGCAGCGTTCCTGGAATCATTTGAGGAAGAAGGGAAGAAGACCCTGAGGCCTGAGAAATGGAGGACTTACAATTTAAGTACCTGATTTGAGCAATCTGGCAGATTATTTAGAAAGGCTGGCACTGATGGTAGAGTTTAATGTGAATCCCAGCTCTGTCACTTCTCTGAGCCTCAGTTTCCTTAAGTGACAAAGGAGGCTAACAACAGCATCCACCTCCCAGAGTCGTGAATAATAAATGAGCTTGTGTGTACAAAAGCCTGAGCCCAACGCTTGGTCCCTGGTAGCAATTGATATTAGCTATTATTGTGAATAATAATGTCACAAGCTCCCGGGGGAGGAAGGCCAGATCACTTTCTGAACAATGAAGCCACTTTGAGGAGGTTAAGCTGGTCGTGACTCAGAAAAATCATTAAGTCACCAAGTGTCAAATTCCATCTTGCAGCTTCCATTAGGATTGTGTGATTCCTAGAGGGGAAGGGGGTCTGATTCTACCCCCCTCCCCAGACATGGCCCCATGTTTGCCATGTTCTCTGGGACTGATGGGGGAGGATCACGGACTAACAGGTCTGCCAAGCTTTGGGGGAGGCAACATAAATAGAGCCTTCAGCTCACTTGTCCAGCCAGGCTCAAGAATATTTCTAAAGTACTTGGGGAAACAAGAGTGTCAAGGATGGACCTCATGGGCCCAGAGAACCAGCAGACCCAAATTGGAGGGTCCATGACCTTGGAGGCTGTTGCAGGGCTGGGTGATGAGAGAGAGAAAGGGAACTGGGGTTTTTTATCTTTTGGAATCCAACTTTTCTCCTCCCACCCCACACTCCCACAAGAATTTGGAACCCAAGGACTGACTGGGGGGTGGTGCAGGGCCCAGGTGGGAGGTGGGCAGATGAGAGCAGGGGTGATTGCCTGACAGCAGGATGCCACAGCTGAAGAAGGAAGTATAAATATACAGCGGCCAGTGTAGGACTGGACAGAGGCCATATGAAACACACGGTACATTCCGGCCCCAGAGTAACAAACTGTACCAGCCTTTTGGAGAGTTGGGAGCACTGTGAAGGGGAGGGAAGAGAGCAGAGGTTCCTTCGAGGTTGGCCCTGCCTCCTCCTCCCCCACTTCTCCCACAGCTCGGGCACCGCAGGGAAAGTCCCGATGTTCCTTTTGCAACCACAGGAAACCTACTATCCCTGCTCACACTCTGTACCCAGTGTTCCTCCCAGCAGACTGGGAGGGAGCAGTGAGTGGGGGAGAGAGAGGGGGCTGGGGGGAGGGCAGTGTAGGCAGCCACAGCAGCCCAGGTACCATGAGGGAAATGGCAAGCTTGGCTTGGGCACTAACAGAGCTTTGCAAGGGAGGTACAGATGGCAGTGAGGTGCAGGGAAGGAAGTGCCTTGCCCAAGATCACACAGCCAGTCGTTCACCAGGGTGGGACCAGAGTGCATCCAGAGCTGGGCAGTGCCGGGCAGCTCTCTTGGGTGTACTGTGCAGGCGTGGCAGGCCAGGGAACAGGCAGTGCCCAGGAACTGAGGGTGGGGAGCCCAGATCCAAGGCTGCCTCTACGCTCTGGTTAGCTCTGGGCAGGTCTGGCTTGGGCACCATCCCCTCCACTCCTTCCAAACCTACCCTCCTCCTCCACCTAAATATTAGAGATAATGCATGTAAAGAGGCTAGCATGGAGGCTGCTTGGTGGTGATGTCAACCAGAATGAGTCACCTCCACACCTCCTCACTCCTCCTCCACACACACAGCTCAAGGCCTAGAACCTCCTGGGATCTTTCTCCCATATCACCACCTCCTTCCTGAGTCCCTATAACTCAAAGTTTGGTACTCACCACCTGCTGGCTTGGGTTATTATTTAACCTCACGAGCTGTCTGTTTGTCTCTTCAACTGGTCTGCAAACTGCCCAAGGGCAGGAAATCATTTCAATACACCCAACATTTACTGAACATCAAATCCAGTGCCAAGCTGGGCCTGTGGGGGATGAGCTCAAGTGATGGGGGAGGCCTCAAAGAGGCAGACTTTGTTTCTGCCTCAAGGACTTTTTAATCTGGTTAGAAGAGCTGGATTAGTAAACAGATCACTAGAATATGAGCGGCCACACGCTGTGCTGCGAGAAAGGTACAGACTGAATGTGCTGGGCATTCAGAGGGGAGAGGAATCAGATTTGGCTGGCGCTGTTTCAAGCAGGCTTTTATGAGTTGGAGCTTAAGAGATGGGTATGCGGAGGATGGGCACTCCTGGCAGGAGAAACGGCACAGCACACTGTGGAGGTTGCAAGGTGGGAGATAGGACTTTAGCAATTGTGTCTTCAACTTTCTAATGACATCCTTAGCAGGACCCAACAGAGCCTTCCATGTGGTAGGTGCTCAGTAGATAAGTTCTTTGTCCCCTCCTTGGTTTGGAAGCAGTGGAACCTTCAGGAACTGCACTCGGTGACGTCTTTCTGTAGACGGATGGGTAAAGAGAAAACGTGGTTCTGAATAAATCCGGGTTTGGGGCTGGAACAAAGGGAGGGGTCAGGCTCCAGTTTGGGGTCGTCTTCTCCACCCGGCAGTCCACTGCTCGGCCCTTCGTACCCCTGGCGCCTGGCCAGGGGTTTCCCAAGCTATCCCAGAGGGCTGGGCTCCGTTCGCCAGCCCCTGGGAATCCCTGGAGCCTCCAGGATGGTGCGAGGCGCCGCGCCGTTGGGGAAGGGGGTCCGGGGCACGAGGAGGAGGCTCCTCCGGGGGAATCGCTCGAATAGGCCCCCTCCAGCGGGCTTCCGTTGTCACGTGACTGCATCCCGGGTCTTCCAAGTGTGGGGCTGACGCGCTCGGCGATCCTCCTCCAGACCGGACCGTGCGCTTCTGGGGCTCCGGTGGCGCCGGGGTGGCTGCTTCTCCCTCGAGGAGCTACGAACACCTGCACCCCTCCCAACTGCGCTCGGGTCCCGCACACGCCCGGGATTCCACTGCGGGGCTCAGGTGGGGGATGGAGACGTCTGGGTGCTGGAAGCCCGGAGCCCGGGCTAGAGGCGGCGAGGAACCCCCCGCCCCCCGGCCGGGCGCGCGTCTCCGGGGCTCGGCCCCGGCCCCGGCCGCCCCTGGCCGGGCCCCAGCGCGCGCTCTCAGGGCTGCGGCGGCGGGGAGGCTGCGCGCCGAGCGCAAGCCGCGAGCACAAACAGGGCGAGGAGGCTGGTGTGAGCGCCTGGGCCCGGTGCCAGCGCGCCGGGGCTGGAACACAATGTCCCGAGCGGGCGGGCGAGCGGGGAGCGAGAACAGCCTGACTCAGCAGCTGGGTAAGTGGGCGTGCTCGCTCACCAGATCAACCGCTCCTGCAGCCTGCGGTCAGCGACGACCCGACTCTCGGAGGCTCCCTCGAGCGGGGGGGGGTGGGGGGTGGGGGGTGGGGGGGAGGCGGGCGCATGGCCGGCTCCCGGGCTCCCGCCCCTGCCTGCCGCGCGGGACCTCCACGTGGCGCGTTTGCGCATCCCTCTGCCTTCTCGCCCCGGCGTTCCAGTGTCTCACGGCCCCCAGCCCGGCGGAGCAGGCTCGCCCCCCCATCCCCACCGGGAGGGGCGCTCTCCGCCTGCCACCCGCCAGGTGTGGCCCGGCCTGCAGCTTCTGTGTACAAGTCCCAGTTTCCCCCAAAGCCCACCATCCTGGGAGGCCTCCGGAGGTCTTGGTGTGTGGGATGTAACTCATCGCTGCAGATGGAGGTAGAAATCTGTTCTGGGGTGGTGAGGCGCTGCAGGAAAAGGATGCTGAGAGAAGTGGGATATAGGGCAAGAAGATCTCCCCCACCTCTGTCCTCGGCTGACCCAGAGTTTAGAGTCTCTTCCTGTCCCCTCCCCTCAAAACCACCAGGCCCCTGAAGATTTCCTCAGAGGGAGGGAGAAGCAGGTGGGGAGGTGCTTTGAAGCCTGAGACCTTGCTTCTCTGCCTTACCCACCCTCCCACCCAAAGCCACAACAAAGACTCATGAATCCTGCCATCCAGCCACAAAGCTTCTCCTTCCTCCTCTGTGCCTGCTGTCCTGGTGGGGCCACTATGAGGATGACAGCCCAGGGCAGGGAGCTCAGATGGCAGCCCAGAACAGGACTTTTCCTGGAGGCGGAGACCTGTCCCACACCCTAGCCTCCTGGGGTGTCTGCAAGGTGCCCCAGGGGACACGCTGTGCCTGGAGTGTGCCAGGGCTGGCAGGGAGGGGCTCGGTCCTCTGCTGAGTTCCAGGAAAGGCCCTGGCAGCCAGCATAGGCCTGAGCTCCAGGGCCTTGGAGGGTGGGGCTGGGGGAGGGACCCCAGGCAGCTGAAGTGCCTCACCTGGGCCCCATGCCCCTGGGCCATCTGATGGCATCTCTGGCACCCTCTGAGGAGATGGATGCCAATGCAGGCCTGGGCCACGGATCCCCTTCCCACACATACAGTCCTATTTCCCACAAATGTGCTCACCCAGCCAGTGTTCACCGAATGTCCCAACCAGAAGGTAACTGTCATCAACTCCAAGCTTCTATCTGATGAATGAAATCTGTGGTATCCCAGGTCAGTAATTGTTCTGAAGCTGTCTGCATATCTATTGTGACAGGGACACTCTGACAAGGCAGCCCACTGCCCTTCTGGACTCCCCTGTCTCCAAGTCCAGTCACCTACAGAACATCTGCCCTCACATGACCTGGAAGTGACTGAACTTGCCCTCCTGTGTCACACCAGCTCTTCCCCACTGCCTACTGTGACTCTTCCATCCCCCACACTCACCGGGAAGATGGGTTAATTTTTAACTATTTTCTCTCCTTAGCCATCCTGTGTCTGACCAACTACCAAATTCCTCCCTTTGTTACTTTTATTACAAGATGTATTGTTCTTTATTTTTCTCATTCACCTCTTCCTCTCTATCCCCATAGGTTCCACCTTTGGCTCAAATTCCCACAGCCTCTGCCACACTGCCCTTTCTGACCTATGTTTTTCCTTTCTCCTACATAGGTTTTTCCTGGATAGTTTTTCTCAGATGCTGTTTATTGTGTATGCTTTTAGCTTCAGACTCCTCAACCAGGTGTACTGGGTATACCGACTTCTAACCTGTGTGTTCCGTATGAAGGGACCTGGGCTCATTCGTGGTGTGCCTAGATCACAGAGCCTAGCCCTGGGCCTGGTACATGGCAGAAGGGCAGCAAATGTTAGTCAAGGGGTCAACCCACTTGGTGTGCTGTGTTCTCATTTTTCTCTCTGGACTCAGTCTCCCCATTCCCATAGAGCCTAATGGTTCCTGGTACTCAGGGCTCAGGCCCTTTTGTTTTGAAGAGTGACTATTTTTTAATCTACCAAATCTTCAGAGTCGGGTGGGGAAGGGAGAAGCTGATACTCAAGTTAACATCAATGAATCTGTGCCAAATGCCAACTGCAGAGACCTTGAGTGCACAGTGGAATGAGTGCAGCTGCCTCTTGGGAATCTCTGCTTCCCTAAGACACATAAAACCACTGAGGAGGGTGGAAGGCTAAAAGGTGAGTGGGCACAGCTGTTGACTGTGGGTTTACAGAGGGATCTTTTCACAATTGGGAGATTCCAGCTTGCCTAGATCTGGTCCCTGATGTCCTTAGATTGTTCTCTTTCTTGGCACTGCATTTCATACACACACACACACACACACACACACACTCTCCTGGTGATCTTGGCCTCAGCACTTCAAAATACCTCCTGCAGGAAGGCTCTGATAATGTCCACCCAACTTTGATCATTTGGTCAACTTCTGAGCCTTATGATCTGCCTTCAATCTCTAATCTATTTTATTGCTTAGTTATGTCCTGTTAATTTTTTCAACTCCATAGATTATAAGCTCCTTTATGTCTTTATTTATTTAATATAATCTACTTATTTTGAGAAGGAAGCGTGGGATAGGACACTGCAACTCTGGAGGCTGTATAAACCTGGATCTGGATTCCAATACTTAGCTGTTTGGCCTTGGGCAAGTCTCTCAACCTCTCTGAGCCTGTTTGTTCATCTGTGGAAGTTGCTGGTGATACTTGCTGAATGAGGGGCAAAGGTCAGAGAGACTACAAAGGGCCAAGAAAGTGCCTTTGCATAGTGATCAGAAGACGGCTCGTCTTCTTCCTTGTTTGGTTGGAATTCTTCCCTGCATTGGGGTACAGAGTTCCTTAACTAGCGCCCCCCCCCCCACTGGAACACTTGAGCGTGAAAAAGGACACTATTAATCATTACACCGGTTCTACAGACGTACCCGGGGCGCAGGGCCATGCTACCCTAACTCACAATAACGAGTGAGGACAGGGTTCGGATCCTGAGCCACCAGAACCCCGCGCCTAAGCAGGGAGCGGAGCAGAGCTCAAGCTCAATGAACGTTTGTTGAATGAACAGAGCCGATCCTCCCTCAGTTCTCGCAGCAGCAGCAGCAGCAGCAGCAGCGAGTGAAGCAGCAGATTGAAAAGCCCGCCCCCGCCGCCTCCCCACCCCCGCCCCCGCCCGGAGCCTGGAGCCTCCTTTCTCTAAGATCTCTCCTCCAGCCCGGTTCCCCGCCCTTCGTTGCCGTGGAAACAGTGACGTAGGCGCGAGGGGCGTGGCCTCTCCATCCTCTCCGGGAGCCCCTGGCCCCTTCCTCCCCGACCAGGGGAGCGGATGAGGTTGGGGTCCCGGACCCTACCGCCCCACTCCGGCCCGGCCACCCCCGCGGGCCAGTGGTTCGCTCGGGGGCGGCCGGCCCACCGCCAGCCCACCCGGCGCCAGTGAACTAGCGGGGGTCCGGAGAATGCCGGCCTCCGCCCCCGGGATCCCTCTCCATCCCTTCCCCACCGACGGGCCAAGGGATCCCGCCCTAGCCGGGCAGCCCTGGGGCGCGCTTCGCGCCCTGGGGGCAGGCGGGAGGGGTGGGAGCCCGGGGGGCGCCGCGGAGCCGCGGAGCACGGGAGAGAAGGAGTTAAACTAGGTGCCGGCGCCGGGCGCGGCGGGAGTGGGGGAAGGGAGCGAAGGGAAAGTGAGAGCGGGGGCGGGGGGTGGGGGGACGGGAGCGAAAGAACATCCTGTGCCCGCCGCCGGATGCGCGCCTGGGGAGGAGGTAGTCGGGGGGGGCTGCTGGGGGGGGCCCGGGGCGGGGAAAGGCGCGGCCTCCGCCCCCCTCCCCGGCCCTCCTCCTTCTCTGGGGGCGCCGCTCCCGGCGCTTTCGCCGCGTTTCTCGCGGTGCCCACGCTTTCTCTGGAGCAACGAGCTGCCGTGAGGCCCCCCGATCTGGTGCCTGGGCCGGGGTAAGCGCCAGCTGGGGCGGGGACGGTCTCGGCGAGTGTGGGGTCCGCGGCGGGGCAGGGCGGCACCCCCAGCGTCTCGCCTCCCTATTTCTGGCTCTCTGACGCGGGTGGGGGGCAGCTCGCACATAGGCTTTGCCCCCTGTTCACCGAGAGTCACAACATACGTTCTCTCATTCAGTCTGACAGCAGCACTTCCTGGTAGTATGTAAGTTTCCGTAGACCCGTATTCCGGAGGAGGAAACTGAGGCCCGGATTATGGAGTTTGCCCAAACCCAAGCCCATGGGTCTGCAGTGAGCTTTTCATTATAGAGTAGGCTGGTTCCCCTTGGCTTCCCCTGTCCATACAAGCTCCGGTCCTCTCCAGAGTCACCCACCGAAATGGTCTAACACTGTGTCTTGCACAGTAGCCCCTCCAAGAGCTTTTCTAATTAACTAGGCTGAAACACTCATTACCAGAGCCCAGTAGTTTGGGGTTTCATAGGTGGGGAATGGGCTGGGGGGAATAGCACTTCTGGTTTAAGTATTTGGGGGGAGGGCTTCAAAGAGTGCTCCAGGCAATTAAATGGGTTAGGGGAGTTGAGGTTGATTAGCCGGAAGAAGAGCAGGGTGGGAGGGGTAGAGGGGATGAATAATGTGTCTTAGAGGTGTCATTCAGGCCCACCATCTGTGTGCTCACTGCCGTCCCACACCCAACATTTTGGTCCAGGTGAAACCTGCTTGTAATAGTAATGATTACAGTTGACATTTGATGGGTACTTCATCTTCACAAGCAACCCCATGCAGACATTACTATTCCCATTTTACAGGGAGGGAAGTCAGCTACAAAGAGAGAACAAAGCTAAGTCAGTGACTGAACTAGTTTCGAACCCTGGCAGTCTGGCCAGAGCCCACACTCCTTCACTAAGCGAAACTGCACCTACCATGATGGGAATATCGGCTTTGAAAGTAGAAAGCCAGTGCAGATGACAGAGAGGTGTGTGCTAGGGCAGCCCATGTCTTTTTGCCCTGGTAAGGACAGGTTAAGAAACTTGGGGGCTGGCAGTGTGTACATGGAATCTCAGATCTCTCTCATCAGTGGTTCCAGATCTTTGGATTTGACAGAAGAGACAAAGCAAGAAAACAACAGCCAAGTCTTTACAAAGTTGCAGCTTTAATTCATGTACCCTAAGAACATTCAGAACACAACTACCATCTGTTACCACCATTATTTCATAAGGGCAAGTGGATTTTAATTCTCGAAGTAAGAAAGACCTCATCTGAATAAAAATCAGCTATTCCCAAGAATGGATAGTCATTGGCTTTACACCAACAAATGGACATTCCTCTCTGTGTGTGTGTGTGTGTGTGTTTCTCATTGTGCTGTGGATTAGTGAAACTGTCACTCTGGGGATGTCCTGTGCCTCTTAATCCCTCTGCTTCATTTCAAAGCAGAATCAAAAGTGGGCTTTAGGTGTAGTAGGAAGGAGTCAGGTTAAAGCCAAGAAGGAACTTTTCTTCTTTGGAAGTCCTTAAAGAACAGGGGAGCACTGCATTTGCTTAGGAAATGAGGGTTGCAGAATCAAGTCCATGGACTGGAGAAGCCAGGAGCTCTGGGTCCTCCCCAGAACTTTGTTCTGAAGGGTCTCTCCTCAGATCCACTAGGGTAGCCTTGGAAACTAAAGCAGTCCCATCCGGCAGCCATTTCCTGCCTGAAGTTCATGGGGTATGACAGGTGGTTCCATGGCAGCAGGGAGGCCTCCAGGGGCCTCTGTCACCCCTCAGCACAGGGCCCATGTAGTCACCCACCTTGGAGCTTGGTAAAGTGCTACGAATGACCCTTGAGGAGGGCTGAGGACAGAAAACAGGAAGGGAAGAGAACAGCCACCTGGGAGTGTTGCCTACAGTCTGGTGTATGATGGGTGCAGGCTCTGAGCAGACAGGCCTGGCTGGCTGCAGCAGCCTTGAGAATGCTATTTCTCTCCCTGTTTCCTGAAAGCCCAAGTGTAGAGCAGGACCTAGAACTTTCCAATGGGAGCTCAAAGCCCTATTCTAGTACATGCTCAGTGCTGGCTCTGGGCCTGAGCCTGTCTTGGAGCTTATCCCCTCCCTTTTCTGTCCCAGGATGTGAGGCCAGAGGGTAAGGGGACAAGTGGGGAAGGGTCTGGTCTCACTTGTCCCATCTTATTGGTGGACATCAAATCCCCCAAAGTTGGACTCTCATGTTTCTGGGATGGTGGCATTTTCTGTCTCCACGGGAGGCCTCAAGCCTCATCTTATCTTATAGGAATGGGGTGGGGCAGGGTGCTGGGCACTGGACCATGCTACTCTGATATAGGCCCCATCATGTAAAGGTACAAACCTACCCAATTTTATTCCTGGAGTTCTAGAGTGGTAATTCTGGATCCCCTCAGATCGCAAGTGCACAGACTGACCTAGGCCAAGGCAGTCCATCCCTTTCTTCTCCAGTGTCACACTGCTTAAATGGGCCTAGAGCCCCTGTAACCAGATCCTCTGTCACTGTTGTGCACTCAAGTCCTCAAAGAATGACAGATGTGATGATTTGAGCACCTACTAAGTGCAGGACTCCCCCAAATGTTGGAGATGCAGGGAGAGAGAGCTGCCTTCAAGAGTTTCTAGACAGACCAGTAGATACTACCCACTACAGGGGAACTACAGTTTCTGGAAGATGATGGCTTTGCCTGAGGACTGCAACACTTTATAAAGTGCTCCCCTTGATGGAAGGGAGCCCTGCCTGTAGAAACATCTCGAGATCCAGCAGTGAATCCATGGTGAAGAAATAAAAGATAGGAGGCCAGAGAGTGAGAGACCAGCCTTGCTGGTACCTAATGGGCACATCCCAAATGCCCCTCCCAGAAACTTCCAAAGAAACCAGCCCAGAAGTTGGGCCTCTGCTGCCCTCTAATGGAGGAAAGCAGCCTCTGGAGCAGCCTGCTGGTGCCCAACCAACCTGATCCCCTAAAGAAAAGGGGATGTGGTGGACCTTCCTGCCTTCAGACTTTTTACTCCCCTACAGTTTTGAGATTGATTTCCTACAGCCTCTGAAGCTGAACCCTCCCTCCTCCCAAGCACTCCTGGCAGCCCCATTTTCCTATACCCACTCTCTGTCCTGTTTCCCCAGGTTCCTTTGTTGCCCAGGGTTCTGATTCTGGCACCCTGGTTCCTGGCCCTGCCAGAGTTCTGGTTCCAGAAGGCCCTTACCAGGTGCCTTGGGCCTAGCTCCCACCCAGGTGCGAGGCCACACTGAAGACATGGGCATGAGCATCCCCCGGTGCCTGGGGCATCTGGACATCCGCAAGGGTGTCGTGGGCTTGGCCACAGGTGCTGGGTTTGTCTATCTGCTCTACAAGGCCATCAGGGCGGGCATAAAATGCCAGCCGCCGCTCTGCACTGCCTCACCCATCTGCATCGCCCGTGAGTGTACGGGCCCTGGGGAGAGGGCTCTGCCCCAGGAGGCACCGGCTCTCGAGGCTTCCAGTGTGGGAGGGCCCAAAGGTGACTCCTCCAGGTTCCTCTCTCCCCCTTCCTTCCTCTTCTCCATCTTCCTCAAACCCGTCCTCGAGATGCTAGCTCAGAGGCCCCAGGTAGTAGATGGCACTCAAGTGACTCCTCAGGGTTCATCTGGTGGGTCTCCAAATTCTACCTTCACTCCAGCTGCCAGGATGCTACTGCTTGGAAACTTGGCATTAGCAATTCTACCTAAGGGAAAATTGGGCTACCTGGATGCACAGAGCTTCCTCTAGTCCACACTACAACTTTGTGCAAAGTAGAAAAGGCACCCTTCTGCAAGGCTCTTGATTGCCATCTGTTGGGATATCCCTGCCATGTACCGATTATGACAAGATGCCACATAGGACTGCTGTAGGCCAGAACATTGTTATAGTAAATATACAAAACCAGGACATGTATGATCTGAATGATACATCATTAGATGTAGTACCCTCGTGCAGTACACGCAGCTCAGCTGTATCTGGTGGTCCTGCAAAGAGCAAGGAGGCCTCTTCAGAAAAGGCAAGGCAGCCTTGTCCCCAGGTCCCTCTCCCCCTCTTCCCAACCCCATTCTTTGATCACATCTGAGTCCACAGCCTGAACTGGGCTGGGGTGGCTGTCTAGGCCTGGCAGTCGAACGAGAGCGGCACGGGCGGGACTCAGGTGAGCTCCGGAGGCTCCTCAACTCTTTGGAGTGCAAACAGGATGAGTACACCAAGAGCATGATCCTGCACAGTATCACGCGCTGTGTGTACTTGCTGGAGGCTGAGGTGAGGGAAAGAAAGCAGGAGGTCCCTCCCAGCCAGCCTGGCCCCTGGGGGCTACAGCTGATCCCCACCCCACCCCCCTTGGTTGGCCGGACTTGTGCCCTGGGACCTGTCTTTCTGGCGGGTGGCGGGAGGGGTTTGCTGAGGGGCCTTGGTGACATGGGGGGCAGGCAGGGAGCCCAGGACACCTGCTTCTCCCCGCCTCTTCTGTCTCTCCTGGCACACTCTAGGCCTCTGCTTGTACTAATGATGATATCAGGTTGGTGGGCTCCATGCTGGATGACAACGACAACAGTGTCAAAATCCAAGCTCTGAACACACTTAAAGCTTTCTCTGGCATCAGAAAATTCAGGCTTAAAATCCAGGTGAGTCAGAGGCAAGTGGTGGGATGGAGAACACAGAATATCTGTAGTCCATGGGCTCTTTAATGAGCATTGGATAATTGGTCATGTTCCAGAAGTTGTTTGGGTCTGAGTTTGTAATCCAGAAATATGTTTTTCCTTGTAATTAAGTAAGACCCTCCTCAAGGGCCATAAATCTTTGAATCTCATGCTGAAACTGAGCAGGGATGCTTGGAGCCCCAAACAGCAGAAAGCACCGAGATTCTTTCTGGTACCAGCTAATTCAACGACACCAATGGGGTGTGTTACAGTTCGACTTAATTGTGACACTGTCTACCTGGGGTTAGAGCAGACCCCACAGGTAAAGGGCTCAGTCCCACAAGATTGCCCCCCCCCCCACTTCACAAGCCAGTACATTTGTACATTTCACATGCCAGTACTTCCTCCTCTGGTTTCATAATTCACTAGAATGACTTACAGAACTCAGGAAAACACTTTACTTACATTTACCAGTTTATTATAAAAGATGCAATTGAGCAGTCAAATGGAAGAGACCTATATGGCAAAGTATGGGGGGGAAGTGTGCAGAGCTTCGGTGTCTTCTCTAGGCATGCCACCCTGTTAGCATCTTAACCTGTTCACCAGCCTTGGAAGTTCTCTGAGCCCTGTTCTTTAGGGGTACTTATGGAGGTTTCTTTATGTAGGAGTGATTGATCAATCATTGGTCATTGGTGAGTGAACTCAATCTCTAACCCCTCCCTTCCTTCTCCTACCTCCTAATTGTAGCTTGGCCTTTCAGGCCACTAGCTCCCCTCCCATCCAGAAGCTGTCTACCACCCACCTTGAGTCACCTAATCAGCATAAGCTCTGGGATAGCTGAGAGGAGCTTGTTACAAATAACAAAAGGCCCTTCTATCCAGCAATTGCAAGGATTTTTTTTTTTTAAGATTTTATTTATTTTAGAGAGAGCGTGCACATGGGGAGGGGCAGAAGAAGAGGCAGAGAATCTCAAGCAGGCTCTGTGCTGAGCATGGAACCCAACACAGGGCTCCAACACAGGACTCAATCTCATTCAAGACCAGAGCTGAAACCAAGAGTCGGATGCCCAACTGACTGCCACCCAGGCGCCCAGCAAATTCAAAGATTTTAGATTTTAGGAGCTCTGTGCCTAGAACCAGGGACAAAGATCAGATATATTATACCACCCCCCCCACCGTGCTGTGTTGGTCTGATGCTGGTGGCTGGGCCCCTGATGCCTTCACTACTACCATGTAGAGAAAATATAAGCCACAAACTGTTCCCCCACTTATCTGTTTCCACACCCATCTTTCCTGGCTGATGCTGTAAAAAAATGGCTTTCTTCCTGTCTATGGTCAACATCAGTCTCAGTCCTGGATCCCATTCCCTTCTGTAATGGCCTCTCCTTAATTAGTTTCTTCGTCTCATATGGCCTTCCCCTACTCCTTTCCAGTAGTATTCAACATGCTGTAATCCTTCCAATCTTAAAAGAAAAAAAAAAAAAAACCCTTCTTCCTTGACTTCCAAATTTCTCTCTAGCAAATGGTTTCTTCTGAATCAAAAAATAAGTAAAATATTGAAAACTTACAAACATTTTATATGTGTGCAATAGAAAGAACTATAAAGCAAAACACACGGCTGAGAAATAGAACACGACCAATAGGTAAGATGCTCCAGATGCCCCTCCCCAATCTGATCTCTTCCCCCAAACAGATGCAATTATTTCCTGCATTTTGTGCATCAATTCCTTGATTTTTTTGTATGGTTTGCTATATATGCAGGTATCAAATTCTAGCAAGGCAGATAATAAATGAATAGGCAAAATGTAGTTTGGGATGTTTTTAAGCTTCATGTATCTGGAAGTATGTAGTTTGTATGCTGTGGTTTGCCTTTTCCCCCCAACATCAAAAGATTCACCTTTATTTGTGTGGATAGCTCGGTTTCCTTGTTTTCCACTGCTGTATAGTGTTCCCATTCATGAGTATCCTGCAATTTTATTTATCCATTTGCCCATCGGTAGGTATTAAAATTGTTTCCACGTTGTGCCATGAGTGTTTTTGTATAAATCTCCCTTGAGAATATAGGAAGCTTTCTCTAGCACCTATATACAGGAGTGGAATGACTAGGTGAAAAGGTATGCCCAACTTTTCAAAAAGGGTTGTATCAATTTACACCCTCTACCTTGAGTGTTCCCATTGCATTGTAGTTCCTCCCCAAAACTTGGTATTTTCATTTAAATTTTTTGTATCAAACTTTTTTGGAGAGGGGTACCTGGCTGCCTCAGTCAGTAGAGCATGTGCTCTTGATCTCAGAGTCATGAGTTCAAGCCCCATGTTGAGCATGAAGCCTACTTAAAAAGAAAGAAAGAAAAAAAAAAAAACCTCTTTTTTGAAAAAAAAAAAAAAAAAAAAGGTCTCTAGGTCTTCACTTGCTGGCCACCTTTATTTGGCCCTCTGAGTTTTCCTAAGTCTGTAATTCTCAAGCATATCAGAATTGCTTGCAGAGCTGGTTAATTATGAAGATTTCAGGGCCCCATACCTAGAGAGTCTAGTTCAGGAGGGAAGCTATGTTTTTCACAAGCCTCCCCGGAAATTCTGATGCAGCTGGCTTGGGTAACACTTTGCCTGGGGTATTGTGGGGACCCGATGCCTGTTCTCTCTGGGTAAAAGCAGCCACTCCCTAGCCTCAGTTTTCATCTAGATGTGCTTTCCTGCATCTCTGTCCATAGCCTGGGAACTCCCCCAAACCCCTTGACCCAGCCAGCTGCTCCACTGAGACATCCTAGTGGCTCCCTAACCCAGCCTGTCCAAAATGGGCCTTGCCCTCATTCCCTAAGTAAGACCATTCTGTCCAGAGGGATCTGATCCCATCAACCCTCTGCTTGGTATTCCTCAAGACTCATGAAGAGCGTGATCCTCCACCTCCTTGCCCCAGTCCTAGCCATTCACAGTGTATGTTTCATGCTCTCCTACTCACTGGCCCTTGCACCTGCTGTTCCTTCTGCCTTAAACACTACCCCAGAGTAACTCTTACCTGTCCTTCAGGTCTTAGTGGACAACAATGGGTTGGGGCAGGGAGAAACTGGTACTAATGGGAATGCTGTGATCCTCATTCCAGGATTCTTGCCTTCCTCTTACATGGTTCACAGAAGTGTAGCATGTGGAGTTATCTGTCTTTGGTAATATCTCTCAGTCCAGGGACGCCTGGATGGCTCAGGGATTGCGCCTCTGCCTTAGGCTCAGGGTGTGATCCCAGGATCTAGTCCTACATCGGGCTCCCTGAGAGGAGCCTGGTTCTTCGTCTGTGTCTCTGTGCCTCTCTGTGTGTCTCTCATGAATAAATAAATAAAATCTTAAAAAAAAAATCTCTCAGTCTAAGCATCTTGAATCTCAGAAGCCAAGATCCTTTTGTTCATCCAACAGATGTATATTGAGCGCTAACTTTGTGTTTAGGCGTTGGACATGCAGCAGTGAGCAGAGCAGGAAAGATCCTCGTCCCAGTGAGACATATTCTAGAAGGGCAAGGCAAGCAATATATAAATTAGTGAAATATATAGTATGTTTCATGTAACAAGTGCGGCAGAAGAAGGGTGATAAAGAAGCTGGTAAGGGGGTGATGGTACAGTTTCAAAGAAAATCTTCGGGACTTAGAGCTTGATGAACAGTTCTTAGAAATAACACCAAAAGTGTGATCTATACGAGGAAAAAATGGATACATTGGACTTCATCAAAACTAAAAACATTTGCCCTGTGGGGTACTCTGTTACGAGGATGAAAAGACAAGCTGCAGACAGGAAGGAAATACTTGCAAAGCACATAGCTGACAAAGGACTCATATGTAGATCATATAGAACTCTCAAAACTCAGTCTTTTAAAAATTCCAATTAGAAAATGGGCAAAAGACTTGGAGATATTGCACTGAAGAAGATCTAGGAGTTGCAAATAAGCCCATGAAAATATGTTTAACATCATTAGGCACTAGGGAAATGCAAATTAATACCACAATGAGATATCACTATATACCTATTAGGTAGTCCAAACTCAAAATCTGTGACAACACCAAATACTGGTGAAAATACAGAGGAATGGGCTTTCTCATATGTTGCTGGTGGGAATATACAATGGTACAGCACCCACTCTGGAAAATAGTTTGGCAATTTCTTTAAAAAACAAACCATCAGGGCACCTAGGTGGCTCAGTTGGTTGAAAGTCCAACTCTTAATCTCAACTCTGGCCTTGATCTCAGGGTCATGAGTTCAAGCCCTGCGTTGCGCTCCACACTGGGTACAGAGACTACTGAAAAACAGACAAAAAATAAGTGATACATTTACTCAGTAGTTGCACTCCTATGCATTTATCCTAGAGAAATGAAAATATCTGCACAAAAACCTGTACACAATTATTTGTATGCACCTCATTTGCCATAGAACTGGAAACAACCCAAATGCCTCTCAACAGGTAAATGGTTATAAACTGTGGTAATCTGTACCATGGAACACTCCTCAGAAATAAAGGGGAGTAATCTATTGATACAACAGCTTGGATCTCAAGGGCATTATACTAAGTGAGAAATCAATCTCAGAAGGTCACAAAGTATGATTCAATGTATGCAACATTCTCAAAGTGACAAAATTATAGAGATGGAAAACAGTTGCATGGTTATCAATGGTTAGGGCTGGTTTGGGTGGGGAGGGGTAAATATGACTATAATGGAGTCCCACAAGGGAGATGGGAAAACTATGATGGAATAATCTGTCAATAGCAGTGGTGGTTACATGAAACTACATATGTAATAAAACGACGAATCCGAATTTGTACCAATCCTGATTTCCTAGGTTTGATATTGTTTATAATTACGTAAGGTGTAACCATTGAGGGAAACTGGGTGAAGAGCACAAAGGATGTCTCTGGGCTACTTTTGGCAACTTCCTGAGAGTTACCATGTTCAAAAATAAAAAGTTACAAAATAAAAAGTGTTGCATGTGACAGTGCTGTGGAGAAGAATGAAATAAAGATGGAGGGTAAGGAAGGCTAGGGTGGGAATAGTTGCAGTCTTAAAGAAGTGAGTGGTTAGGGAAGGCCTCACCGAGAAGGTGACATTAAAGAAAAGTCTTGGAGGTGTAAGAGAGTGAGCTATGACTATCTGGAGGGAGAGCTCCAGTAGAGAAAACAGCTTGCGCAAAAACAAGATAAGTGTGTACTTGGCATGCTCAAAGAATGGCTAAGAGTCCATTATGGCAACCATGGGAGCGAAGAGGAGATGAGGTCAAAGAAATTGTGGAGGGAGCGAGGGAGAATATATTGGACCGTGTAAGCCACTGTAAGGGCTTTATCTCTTATGCTGAATGAACTAGGGACCTGAGCAGAAGAGTGACATGTCTAATATGTCTGTTGTCCTAAAAGTAGATTTAGGGGGAGAGGATGGAAGCAGGGAGACAGGAAGCTATTGCAGAAATCCAAGTGAGGAATGATGGTGGCTTGGAACACGTTGGTAGAGCAGCTTGACTGTTGATAGATTTTGAAGGTAGAGCTAAAATTTTCTGAAGGATTCAAAAAACAATGTGAGGAAAAACAAAGTAGTTAAAGAGGACCACAGATTTTTGACCTGAGTAACCAGAAGGGAGGTGCAACCCAAAGCAGAGATAGAGAAATTGGTGGAAAAAACCAGTTTGGGTGCTGAGTATGTGTTAACTCTGAGAGGTCTATTAAGCATTCTGAGAAGGGGCACCTGGCTGGCTTAGTCGGTGGAGTGTGTGAGTCTTGATCTCAGAGTTGTGAGTTTGAGTCCCACGTTGGGTGTAGAGATCACATAAAAATAAAATCTTGGGGAAAAAACCTAGGGAGAAGGTTCTGGGGAAGGAGTGGAATTGGCACCTGAATATATGAATCTGGAGTTCAGGGAGAGGTCTGGGCTGGAGTCGGGAAGTTGAAAGGCATTAGCATCAACAGTATTTTTAAAACTGTGAGTCTGGATGATATCACTGAGGGAGTGATCAAGATAGAGAAGAAAAGGTTGGGCAGAAGAACCAGGAAAGAAGTCTGTGGGGGAGAAGCCCAGGGCAGAAAGGGGATAGGCATGGCCAACTAGGTCAAGTCACGTTGAGAGTGTAAGTTAGAGGGAATTGTCTACAGGGCTTGGGCGCAAGCAGGGAAGGGTGGCAGGCATAGTGTTGGGGAATCACTACATAAAAGCAGTTCCTTTTCCCCTCATCTGCTCCACCCCCAGGAACACTCCATCAAGGTACTGGAACTGATCTCCACCATCTGGGATTCGGAGCTGCACATTGCAGGCCTCAGACTTCTCAACAGCCTCTCACTGCCCGACTATGTACATCCACAATTGCGACGGGTGATGCCTGCCTTGATGGAGATCCTGCAGTCAGACTATATCCTGGCACAGGTGCCTGAGGACCATGGCCCATGCCCTGCCCTCCTTGACTTGACCAGCCCTGGCACAGCACCTAGAGGGAGGGAGAGGGAGAGAGATTTGTGCTTTCCCTGCTGAGGCCCACATTCACCTGCCTTCTCATGCTTTACTCTTTCTTTTATTCAGGTGCAAGCTATACGATTGCTGAGCTACTTGGCACAGAAAAACGACCTTCTCTATGATATTCTCAACTGCCAGGTGAGAAAGGAACTGAAGAAGTATTAATAGATACCAACTCAGGTTTTGGGGAAGGAAAAATCATGGATTTCCCTAGGCAGACTTAGCCTTAACAAGATCGTTTTATTTCTCTTCCTGCTTTTGTACTGTGTATATTAATAACTATCTCCTCTTCCATTCTCTGAATAGAATGAGAATTTGTTTTATTGAGAGAGGGATTCTCCTTTAAGGGGCTTTCTGAACACTGAGAGCCAGGTATCCAGTGACAATACAAAAGGAAATATAGGTGTTTTCATATTAAAGAAAAATTACTTATAACAAAAACCATTATTAGGAATAAAGAGGGTCACCACATAATAGTGGTTCAGAGGCCAAAGGAACTCTAAACTTACGTGAACCTAATAACATAACCTCAAATTTATATGGCAAAACTTGATAGAATTACAAGGAAAATTTTTTCTCCTTTTTCAGTTTTAGTGAGGTATAATAGACTAAATTGTAAAATATTTAAAGTGTATATAGTGATGATTTGATATATACATATACATTGTGAAAGGATTCTCACCGTCTAGTTGATTAACACATCCACCACTTCACATATTTATCTTTTTGTATGTGTGAAAACATTTAAGTTCTACTCTTTTAGCAAATTTCAATCATATAGCACAGTGTTATTAACTATAATCACCATGTTTTACATTACATTTATAGGCTTTTTTTTTTTTAAGAGAGAGAACACACACATGGCAAGGGAAGGGGCAAAGGGAGGAGAGAGAATCTCTCTAGCATGGTGCCCAACACAGGGCTCAATCTCACAACCCTAAAATCATGACCTGAGCTGAAATCAAGAGTCAGATGCTCAACTGACTGAGCCACCCAGGTACCCCCAGATCTTATTCATCTTATAGCTGAAAGTTTATATACCTTTGTACCAATGTCTCCGTATTTCTTCTACACTACCAGCTCCTAACAACCACTTTTCTACTCTGTTTTTGAGTATGACATTTTTTCTTTAGATTCCACCAATAAGTGATACCATGCAGTATTTGTTTTTCTCTGTCTACTTATCTGACTTAGCATAATGTCTTCAAACTTCATTCATGTTGTCACAAACAGCAGGATTTCCTTCTTTCTCGTGGCTTAATAATTATAAGGAAAAATTGACACATCTACCATCACAATGGAAGATTTAGGAGGTTTGTTTTTTCAGCAATTAATAGATAAAAATCTAAAACCAGTAAGGGTATATTTGCTGTGAATACCATAAATAAGCTTGAGCTATTAGACACACCTAGAACATTTTACAATTAATAAGTGTATATTCCTCTCAAGCACACACAATATTTATAAAAATTAGCCACATGCAAAGCTTTAAAGTTTGACTCAACAGATTTCTCAGAATCAATATTATGATCATATCTCTCATGTTTTATGACCATTGTGCAATTATGTTAGTGATAATGAAAGGAAAACTAAAAAATTCCTCTACAGTTGAATCTGAAACTTAGGTATACTGGAGAATTGAGGCAATAGGAAAATTGAAGAACTTCAGAACTTGTCTTGGATTTCTTTGCCATTGTCTCTCTACGCCCGTTATAGGTGCATTCCAACTTCCTGAACCTGTTTCAGACCACACAGCCAGGGAGTCTGCTGTTCGAGATTCTGGTGTTTGCTGAGCGGCTAAGTGAGGGCCGGAATTCACCCCACTACCGTGCTGTGAAGTGGCATTACAATGAACAATCTCTGCATGAAGCTCTTTTTGGGGATGAGTCACGACTGGCAGACCGGCTGCTTGCCCTGGTCATCCACCCTGAGGAGGAGGTTCAGATCCAGGCCTGCAAGGTCATAGTCAGCCTGCAATGCTCCCAGGATGTGGGAGTCCGGCCCTCCTCCTGCCGGCCCAGTCATTCCTACTTCAATAGCGGGGAATAAAGTTAAGGAGAGCCAATAAATGACTATGGGAGAAAATCTTGAAGGGCACTTTCTATCTGAGGCCGTCCAGGGGCTGGGTGTGGTTTTATCCGGCACGATCCCTTCTCCGGGTGTGAGGGAACTGGTGCATCTCTGAAACACGTCCCCACTGCCCTGTTTAGGGGACAGATTCCCTTCTTCTCTTGCTGCTTTTCAAATTTGAGTGTGGAGCCAATGCTGTAGGGGAGTTTCAGAGAGAAGGCATGTTTAGGGACTGAGGCCAAAGGTAATCAACAGGAGATAGTATTGCATGGATTCCTAGGGTGGGCTAGGCTGTGCTGCAGTAACAAACAACCTCCAAATCTTAGTGGCTTAAAAAAATGACAGGGTTGTTTCTTTGTCATCCTACATGCCCCTAGCAGGCCAGCTGGGCGGGGGGGAGGGGGGGGAGTGTAGGGGGGTCATCTTCTCTCAGTGACCAAGGCTGAGAGTGGCTCTTACTGTGTATCTATAACTCCTGGAGAAGGAAAGGAGAATGTGACAGTGATCACTGGCTCTTTTTTTTTTTTTTAAGATTTTATTTGTTTATTCATGAGAGACACAGAGAGAAGGCAGAGACATAGGCAGAGGGATAAACAGGATCCTCGCAGGGAACCCAATGCAGGACTCGATCCTGGAACTCTGGGATCATACCCTGAGCCGAAGGCAGACGCCCAACTGCTGAGCCACCCAGGCGTCCCTGATCACTGGTTCTTAAAAGTCACACCAGAAATGATGCTCATCACTTCTGTTCACATTGTGTTAGCCAAAGGGGGTATGGAAGATCATGTGTAAGAAAGAACTGGAAATATTTGGTGACAGCATTAATGACAGAGACTGCAGGCGTATTGGAAGAGTGAGACCTCTGGAATCAGAATCTCAGGTTCAAACCCCAGCTCTGTCACTTACTAGCTCTGTGACCTTGGCCAAACCATTTACCCTATTTGAGCCTTAGTCTTCCCCTCACCTATCAAATGAAAATAATAATAGTAACTTATCTCATGAGGCTGTTGGGAAGATTATGTGGGGATTATATGAATTAATATAAGGCACAATGTTCTGCATGCAGAGGGTATGCATCAAAGATCAAGATTGAAAGAGTGAAAGTTTAGCACTGGAAAGGTCCTTAGAGAGCAATGAATCTAGTCTCTTTGGATTACAGGCACTGAGGAGTCCCAGAACCCTCTATGAAGCACCCTGAAATGCCACTGGAACTTAGCTTTAGAAACCAGATTGTGTGGGTAATACAAACCATAACCATGAATTCTCCAGAAACAAGGAGACTGTCAAACCAAATATGGCCACCTATTTTCAGATTTCCCCATTCATTGCATTTCCCACTTGTTCATTCATTGTGTTATTTGTGAGCCCTTGCTGGAAAACAAGCAGTAGTGATTGCGAATGGTTTAAGAAAATGTTATGGGAGAAAACCCTAAAATTGGAGCTGTTCCATCTGCTACTACCTGATTGAGGAGGAAGAACATGTTGGCCCAGCTATGGAACTCCGTTGTTCTTCAGTGGCAGGATTTAAAAACCACAGTCCAGTCCAAGGCCAACCCTGGCTTTTTGCTGAAGGAGAAAACAAACCCAAAGAGGGAAAGTGACTTGCTTAAGGTTACAAGGCTGATTTGGGGCCAAAATAGGGTTAGAATCTCCTAGTCTTGGGCTTTTTGTTTTCATAGTCTTTGGCCTGAACCCCATGGGGGTTGACCATGGATTCTAAGCCAGAATCGGTGGCAGTTGAGAGAGACAACACTGGCTGTCCTTTTAGGCCTGAAGTACTTGAGGAAATTTGTCCCCACTGAATTCCTGACTCAGGACGTCATCATTTGGGTCAGAGGTGAGGTGGGGGGGAGGGTTGTTAATGAGGATGGGCTGATCAGAAAGCCATCCTCTCATCACCATCTCCCAAAGTTTGACTTGTCTCCTCTGAGTGGACACCACTACCAGATCTGAATCATCAGTCCTTATCTCTCTCCTGAGTTCAGGCCTGAGGGTGCTCCTTCCTGTTTCTTAGATACACAGCAGTCACTCCAGTGGAACCTATCAAAAGCCAACATCACCTATCCACTTCTCAACCAGCTCCTCGAGTTCCCATGTCACCACCTAAGTATTGGGCATCACCTTCAACTTCTCTCCACTACATCCAACCAGCCATTCCAAACATCCCACATCTACCCAAGTTCTTCACTTACCACTGCTGCTACCCTATTCCCTGCTTCAGGACTTTTGGGGTATCACTTTCTACTTCTGTCTTCATTTTCTCTAGGCCTACACACTCCAGGCTAGTCTCAGAGCCACGAGTTGATCATCCTTGAGAACATTCAGGATTTCCCTACTATCATGGTGAACTTTTTTCTCAGCCCCAAAGCTAAGTCTCATGATCTGACAAGTATAATTGTACTTAAAGCGAAAGTAGGTTGAGATTTATCCTCAAAGTCATGGTCACTCAACCCCCCCACCTTTTTTTTTTTTTTAACATCATAGCACCAAATGAATTAGCTTTATATTTAAAATCCTTTGTGATCTTGCCAGGAGCAAGATCATATTGCTTGTCACTAGCCTATCAGGTCAGATCTCTTCTCCAGCCAAACTGAAGTGAATAGTGGTTACTGCTGACCTAATCCTGTCACATGTGGTCTTGCCTCTAAGCTTTTGATACAGTGTTCCCTCTGCCTATAATGCCCTTCTCTCGTTTTTACTGGTCTGTGTCCTGTAGTGTCATCAGAGTTGAATTATGTCCTACTGCAGCCTAGAGATTTCTTCAACCAGCCTTTGCTCCTTCCTATAGCACTTCATATCTGAACCTTTCATTTGGCATTTGGCAAATTAAATCTTTGATCTTATAAACTTTGTTCTTTTAGCAGTAGGTCATACCTTACTCCTTATAAAGCCTTGAAGGGAGAACCTGCTCTGCATAGGCACAAGATAACAATTGGCTATGGTAAAGAAAGGGGAGTTGGCAGCGGACAATGAGATGGGGAGTGTTGTATGGGTTACGTGTTGCTGTGTAACAATCTATGACCAAACTTAGTGTATCAGCCTGGGTCCAATCAAGAGAGAGAAATCGTACAGTAATTTGAACAGGGAATTTTTTTTTAAATTTATTTATTTATGATAGTCACAGAGAGAGAGAGAGAGGCAGAGACATAGACGGAGGGAGAAGCAGGCTCCATGCACTGGGAGCCCGACGTGGGATTCGATCCCGGGTCTCCAGGATCATGCCCCCGGCCAAAGGCAGGCGCTAAACTGCTGCGCCACCCAGGGATCCCCAGAACAGGGAAATTTTAATATCATAACTTATTACAACAGGGGATTAAAGTAACAAAAGGACCTTTTAGTAAGGAATAAAGAATACACGAATAGTAGATGTAGGAGCAGCCCCTACTTCTAGGGCTGTGGCTTAAGATAGAACACCCAAGGAAGAGACATCCCTAGCCCCCACTAAAGCTGAAATCCAGACCTTGTTGAAAACACATCCTATGGCTCACCAGATGGCAGAAAAGTCATTGTACTGTCATGAGAGTGGAACTTGCCAGAAATCTGCTCTCTAAGATGCCAGGGAAAGTTCTTCACATGGAGGTGCCTAACCAAAAGCTAGAAAACTGCCTGAGCAGGTACAGGGGAAACCACTGCCCACTGGGTGCTCCTGGCCTCTAAGTACTGCAGAAGCCTGCTAGAGAAGGCTAGATGCTAGAGAACACGTGAGTGCTGCAGGAGCCTCATGCTGGAGAAGCCAAGTGTGCACCAGGTGCTGGGTGCTAGAGAAGCTGCAAAACCTGCAGGAGGTGGAAGCACTTTGTTTAACTACTGCCCAAGGTGGGCAGTGCCAGGAGAAGCTGCTAGCTGCTTGTGCTGCTGGTCATTCCAGGCACTGGGGACTGGGGAAGATGCTTGCACTGCAGGAACTTGCCAACTGAACGTACTAGAACCAGGAAGCAAAACCTTTCCCTCCTTCAGTGTTTCTCCAGCTCTCTCCCTCTTAACAATTTAAAACACCAGTAAGCATTTATCTCTCACAGGAATTCAGAAGCCTATTAGTTGGGGGGTTCTGATTCGGTCAAGCTATGGTTGTGGTCAAACTTTTGGCCAAGGCTGCAGTTATCCAAAGGCCTGACTCGGGCTGAAGGATCCACTTTCAAGATGGCTCTTTTATTTGGCTGACAAGTTGATGCTGGCTGTTGGCAAGAGACCTCAGTTTCTCTAGTATGGGCATCTCCACAGGGATGCTTGAGAGCCCTCACGACATAGCAGCTGGCTTCCTCTAGATTGGGTCATCCAAGAGAAAGCAAGGCAAAAGCTGCAATAATTCTTCTGATTTAACTTCAGAAGTTGAACATTATCAGTCCACTACATCCTATTCATTAGAAATGATTCACTGATCCAGCCCACATGTAAGGAAGGAAGAATTAGGCTCCACCTTTCTTTACATTAAAAATGTTTTAAGAGTTTATTTATTTATTCATGAGAGACGCGCAGAGGGAGGCAGAGACACAAGTAGGGGGAGAAGCAGGCTCTCTGTGAGGAGCCTGATGCAGGACTCAATCCCAGGACCCCAGGGTCACAACTTGAGCCAAAGGCATATGCTCAACCACTGAGCCATCCAGGTGCCCCCCCACCCAATTTTTAAAATATTATTTTCTTTATAGGTAGGCTCCATGGCTAATGTGAGCCCAATATGGGGCTTGAACTCACGACCCTGAGTTTAAAACATGAGCTGAGGGGCAGCCTGGGTGGCTCAGCAGTTTAGTTCCACCTTCAGCCCAGGGTGTGATCCTGGAGACCTGGAATCGAGTCCCATGTCAGTCTCCCTGCATGGAGCCTGCTTCTCCCTCTACCTGTGTCTCTTCCCCCCATCTCTCTGTCTCTCATGAATAAATAAATAAAATCTTAAAAAAAAAAAAAAAAGACATGAGCTGAGATCAAGAGTCAGACCCTTAGGGCAGCCCTGGTGGCGCAGCGGTTTAGTGCCTCCTGCAGCCCAGGGTGTGATCCTGGAGACCCTGGATCGAGTTCTGCGTCAGGCTCTCTGCACGGAGCCTGCTTCTCCCTCTGCCTGTGTCCCTGCCTCTCATTCTCTCTCTGTGTCTCT